GGATGGAAGGAGGGAGGACATGGGAATAGGAAGGAAGGAAAGAAGGAAAAAAGGAAGGAGGAAAGCAAGAAAGGGAGATAGGAATGGGAAGGGAAGGAAGGAAGGAAGGAAGGAAGGAAGGAAGGAAGGGAAGCTCTGCTTCGGGATTATGGATTTGGGAAGGGGCTCTTACACACACACACACACTTAACACACCAACATAAACAACTTGGCACCCAGAGGGGATGCTAATCTGGGGTTATTGGGTCCACTTAATGGGATTGCCATTTTGTCTTCCCCCCCCCCCAGGAGGTTTTCCTTTTGAGGAAGGGGGGGTGGGGGCACAGTTGTAATGTCTTCGCCCCTCTGGCTTCTCCCGGCTGCCTTTAAGAGAAGCAGCCTTAAAATCCCAGCAGGATTTTGCCAGAAGGCAGGCAAGCCAGCCAGCCAGAGCGAGCAAATAAAATAGCACAGCGGATCAACTGTCTGTCTGTCTGTCTGTCTGTCCGTACACACACACACAAAAACACACAACCTCCCCCCCCCAACCACCCGCGCAACCCCCCCCGCCCGGTTGGGGAAAAAAAGACCAACTTCGCTTGCGCCTCGTCCAGGCTCTGGTCGGTGATGGTCATGATCTGGTGCAGGATGTCGCCAATGTCCTGCTTGCGGCCGTCGCCGTCGGCGCCCTCGTGCCCGTGGGGAGGCGGCAGAGCCATGCCCCCTTGCACCGCGTGGCCAGCCAGGTTCACGCCGGCCAGCGTCTGCAGCATCCGCGACTGCTCGTCCATGCTGCCGGCCGGGCCGCCTTGACGACGATCTCGCTTCGCACTTACTTTGGGGACGGCGGGGAGGAGGTTGGTTGGGGTGGGAGAGGGGAGGGAAGGTGGGGGAAAGGAAGCGGGTGAGAGACGGAGAGGAAGGAGAGGAGAGGAAGAAGGGAGGGAGGAGATAAAAGGGAAAAGGAAGGAGAGGAAGGAGGAGGAGGGAAAGGAAAGGAAGAGAAAGGAAAGGGAGAAGGGAAGAAAAGAAGGAAAGAAGGGGAGAAAGGAAAGAAGGGAGAGGATGAGAGAAGGAGAGGAAAGGAAGAAGGGAGGAGATAAAAGGGAAAAGGAAGGAGAGGAAGAAGGAAGAGGAAGGGAGGAGGGAGAGGAAAGGGAGAAGGAAGAAAAGAGGAAGGAAGGAAAGAAGGGGAGAAAGGAAGGGAGGGAGAGGATGAGAGGCAGAGAGGAAAGGAAGAAGGGAGGAGATAAAAGGGAAAAGGAGAGAAAGGAAAGGAAGAAGGAGAAGAGAGGAAGGAAGGGGAGAAAGGAAGGAAGGGAGAGAGCGAGCAAGAGAAAGCGAAGGGTCTTTTTGGGGGGTGGGGGGGCCGGAATTTAAGCAAAAAAACCCAGCGTTCCTTGGCTGGAAAGCGGGCAAAGCAGGGAAAGTAGAAACCTTCAGCCCCCCGCAAGCCCAGCGCAGTTCCCGCCGCTCTGGGGGGGAGGGGGGGGAGAAGGAGGGAAGAAAAGAAAAAAAAGAAAAAAAAAAAGGAAAGGGGGAGGGAGCCGAAAAGCTAAATCCCGGCCACTGACATCGCTCCGGCTGGCGGCGGCGGCTCTGCTCTCCTTTAGTTCCAAACCCCCCGGCGGGGCTCCAGCGGCGATCGGTGCCCGGCGGCCTCTGCAGAAGCAGCCGCGGGGGTGGGTAGGTTGGGGGGGGCGGCTGGAGGAGAGAGAGAGGGGGGGAAAAAGATTTCTCCTCTCTGGGTTATTAAAGTCGCGGGGATTTTCTTCTTCCTCCTCCTCCTCCTCCTCTTCCTCGCCCGGCAACGGGGCTGTCGAGTTGTTGGAGCGTCGAAGGAGGAAGGCTGGCCAAGGGTCCTTTTTCTCCGGGGATGGGATTCTCGGCTCCTCGGTGCGAATGTGTGGCTTTCCTTCCTTCCTTCTTTCTTTCCTTTCTTTCCTCACTTCCTCCGATTTCTTTCTTTCTTTTTTCTTGGAAACAAAGGAGGCGCCGGGGAGGAGGGGGCCGCCCCCCCGCAAGCGGGACCCCCCCCCCTCCAAACCCCCCCCCCCCCACTAAAAACAGATGGAAAAAAACAGCTTTTCTTTCTTCTTCTTCCGCCTCCCTCAAATCCTTAGAAAGTTACGAGCGCCGAGCCTGGTCCAGGGATTTCTCTCTTTCTCTTCTGGGACAAAAACAACACACAGCAGCAGCCGCAGCAGGTAGGTAGGTAGGCAGGCAGGTATCTGAGCGAGCATCCCCGGCTCTTAATAAGGGCCACATTTAAAAGCGGAGGGGGAGTCGCCTTCTCCCCGGAGAAGGGGGCAGAGAAGAGCCGCCGGTGCCGCCGTCCTTCGGCCGGAGGGGACGAACAAAAAACATCACCAGCAGCGATCGCTCCGGAGCCTCCTCGGTCCCGGCGAGGTCAAAGGCTGAGAAGAGAGAGAGAGGGGGGCAAGGAAGGGGGGAGAAAAAAAATAAAGAAGTTTGAACTTGTGCAAGGAGGAAAGAAAAGAGGAAAAGAAGAAAGGCGGAGGAAAGGGAGAGGAAAAGAGGGGAAGGGGGAAAAGGGAAAAAGAAAGAGAGGAGGAAAAAAAACAAGAATTGCAAGCTGCCCCTCCAAAGGAAAAAAAAGAAAGGAAAAAAAAAAGAAAGGAAAAAAAAAAAGAGCAGCCGGCTGGAATTAGCTGGGTCCGACCGCTGTGTGTGCGTGTGTGTGCGTGTGTGTGCGTTGTGTTGTTGTTTGATCGCCGTCCGGGTTGAGCGATTGACAAGCTGCCAACGCCGTTCACTCAGCCTTGCCGACGTGTCGCCCGGCGAAGGAGGCGAGCGGCCGGGCAGGAGAGACACACCGGAGGGGATGGGGGAGCCCCGGAGAGACCCGCCCACTCCCGGAGCCCCGCCCACCCACCCCCCTCGCCACGCCCCCCTCAGAAGTTTGGGAGGCGACCCACAAGGAGGGGCGGAGGGGGAGGAATGGGGGGGTCTGAGCGCAGCTGGTGGCCTCGGCTGGCTACCTGGCCCCTTCCCTCTCCTCGCCCCTTGTTGCCCCTCTGCCCCCCCAGCCCAGTTTGGGGGGGTCCCTGATCCAATTTGGGGATCCCTGTCCACTTTGAGGGGTCCCAATCCAGTTTGAGGGGTCCCCGGCCCAATTTGGGGGTCCAAATACAGTTTGAGGGGTCCCAGTCCAGTTTGAGGAGTCCCCGGCCCAATTTGGGGGTCTCAGTCCAGTTTGAGGGGTCCCAA